TAAGAACTAAGCACAAACCCCAGCTTTTGGTGAAGCCAGCAGCAAGAAATTATCCCCAAATGCTTGACAGAAGCAAATGCTTTTGCCAATGTGTCTCTCCCGCTCGTGCAAAGGCTATTTCTGTCATGTATTAGAAGCTGCTACTCTTGCTTCAAAGGAGATGGGGATGTTTTTTTTAAGGGTTAGAATCTCTTAGACTACAAAAAGTTGTGGTGTCAAAACCCCACTGGCTGTACATCCCCTAGTCCATGAGGATGACTGTTGTGAGGCTTAGTTGACAAGGCTGTGGAACAAATAATGTGTCCTTTCAGCAATTAGTGATGCTGACAAGAAAAATGACTTGGTCTCTGTGTTTTCCTTACAGGTTGAGCAGCTGACAGAAGAGCAAAAAAATGGTAGGTGCATCTTTAACCTGACACTGCAGCCTAAAGATGAGCTCTCCAGCCAGCAGCCCAGCCTGCCTCAGCAATGACAGTCCAGAGAATGCTTTGGCCAGACTGGCCAAGGCAGGGCATGACCCAGGGATTTGGATCCACCAGCATTTCAGTCAAGCAATTTTTTGTGCATGTGCTTGAGTATCCTCACTATGCCATGGCTGGGTATTGCTGGAGTGCATGATCCAGGGAGGCTGTGCCAAGGCCACCTGCCTGCAGGAGCAAGGGGCAAGGCAAGACCCCCCATATCTCCTCCCCCCTCTCTCTGCAGAGTTCAAGGCTGCCTTTGACATCTTCGTGCTGGGGGCAGAGGATGGTTGCATCAGCACCAAGGAGCTGGGGAAGGTGATGCGGATGCTGGGGCAGAACCCCACCCCTGAGGAGCTGCAGGAGATGATAGATGAGGTGGATGAGGACGGTGAGAAATTTGGGTTTCTTCCACTCTCCTAAGCACCATCTCCACATCTGGAGGTGTGGGGGCCATCTCTGCAGTGCTGACAGGATCCATGCTCAGGAGTCACAGCCTGTGGGGAGCAACCTGCAGTGCTGTGAATTTGAAGGACACTAGGCACCCATCAAACTTCAGTGTGGTTCCTTTAGGAAATTTTTGAGGCAAAAAGAGACCATAAAAATTATTATTGCTGTAATGATCAGACTGCTTGAACTGGTGTTGGAGGGGGCAGGTAGGAGGGTACTCTGAAATTGTACAGGTCCTCTTGAAAAGCAAAATGTAGGTTGAATGTAGGAACTGCCATTTCAGAAATGCCACAGTTACAGGATTCTATCATCAGAAAAGTCTCTCACTGCCCAAGCATACACACACCCACATAAGTAACTGTCAGTATTGATTAGATCAGTCTACAGGTGATCACAGATAACAATATCCACTGGGTGCAAGTTGGGCAGGAAAACCATACTAAATACCTGGAAAATTAAAAAATGTAGGAACTGCCATTTCAGAAATGCCACAGTTACAGGATTCTATCATCAGAAAAGTCTCTCACTGCCCAAGCATACACACACCCACATAAGTAACTGTCAGTATTGATTAGATCAGTCTACAGGTGATCACAGATAACAATATCCACTGGGTGCAAGTTGGGCAGGAAAACCATACTAAATACCTGGAAAATTAAAAAATCAGTTAAAAATCAGGAAAGAAAAGGGAAATGAAAAGCTGTCATTGAAAACAACAGTACTGTACTGCAGATACAAAACCACACTGCATGTATACCTGCCTTCTGGAGCTTTTAGTATTAATACCTAGATAAGATATACATCTATCTCCATAGCAAGAATTTCCATTCATTGGTGCTTCCAGAAGGACTTTTGCCAAGGCAAAATGACTGCAAAAGGTAAGAATTCAGTGATGAAGTCAGAGCAGGGCCTCAGTCACTTACTGCAGTGGCCTGAGAGCTGCCTCTTGCTGCAGGACTGCTCTCCTGAGTTCCTGGGTTGCTAAAGGGAAGTGTGATCTGTCACTGAGGTTGCCCATCCACCCACCGTAGCACCAGCTGATGGTGTCTATTGTGCCTGCAGGCAGCGGCACCGTGGACTTTGATGAGTTCCTTGTTATGATGGTCCGGTGTATGAAAGATGACAGCAAAGGAAAAACTGAAGAGGAACTCTCAGATCTTTTCAGGATGTTTGACAAGTAAGAGCTGCACCATAGCGTGGTGGGGTGGTGGGAGTAGTGCAACCACTCTGACTTCCCTTCCCCAGTGTCTGTCTGCTCCTGAGCTCTTCTGTCCTCACACAGAAACGCGGATGGCTACATCGACCTTGAGGAACTGAAGATCATGCTGCAGGCGACCGGAGAGACCATCACTGAGGATGACATAGAAGAACTGATGAAAGATGGGGATAAAAACAACGACGGCAGAATTGACTATGACGGTGGGACATTCTTGCATGCGGTTTTGTCACGAGCCTTTGAGTGTCCCCCTGGGCAGGTCCCATGGTCTTGGTTTCCTTCCTGGATGGGCATGAGCCAGGCCTGACTGCAGCATGTTTGCACAGGGGTGGGAGGTTTCTTATGTTGTGACATGGTAGCAAGGGCCTGGGGCTGCCTCAACTGTCCCCATGCTGTGAAGGTCAGGCTGCACTGAAGCACTGCCATTTTTCCCTAGAGGGGACACTGCCTATCCCTTCCTGCCCCCTAAACACAAGCACCATGTCTGAGAGGCAGTATCTTTGAGTGCAAAGCTGCTGAAATGACCCCCAGACTCAGTTCGTGAGTTGAGTCTGTGGCTATGTCCCACCCTGGACATTCACGTTCAGTGTTCTGGTGGCAACCGAGGATGACGCTGAGCTCCAGTGACATTTCCAGCAGGAGTCACGAGGAGTCCTTGCCACAGTCAGAGAAGCAGTAGCCATCCCCCCTCAGCCTCTCTTTTCCACCACTGTGGGGGTGGAAAAGGAGACAGGGCTGGGGAAGGTTGCCAAGACTGCACTTGGCAGCTGCAAGGGCACTTTGGTCTCACCTCACATCTTTTGTCTCCAATGTTTTCCCCTTGGCAGAGTTCCTGGAGTTTATGAAGGGGGTTGAATAAATCTGAGGCCAGATGGACAGCTCAAATCTCCTACACTCCTCCAGGACAGCTCGAAACTCCTAAACCCCTCCTGCATCTCTTTGACTAAGTCCCCTGGCTACCAGCATGAAGACACAGCGCTGAGAAGGGTGGCCGGGAGGGAAATAAAACTTGTTAATACCAAGTGCCTCAGATGGTCTTTCCTTGGAGGTTTATTGACAGCTTCAACACGGTCATATACTCATGAGTAATGGGGCCACTCCTTGGGGCCACTTCTGGCAGGGTGGCATCACAGCTAGAGCTTTAAGACTCCAAGGAGGTATTTTGCTGCCAGTCCAGTGGCAAAGCCCAACCAATGGAGCCAGGGTGCTCAGTGGGAGCTGCCACGTTGCTTCTCCTCACCCCTGCCATGGTGAACAGGCTCAGGGTCTGGCACTGGTGCCTGCTGGTTTACCTGGAGCACTGGCAGCGTTTTAGCAGTGAAATATGAATTAAACCCCACTTAGGCCATCACTGCAATCCACAGGTGAGAGACAGTCCCTCTCTTGTCTACTCTCACCCCAGCTGTCCTGACGGGACACCCTTTCCTCTTCTCTGCCATCCTGATTGCCACCCTCTTGCACATGCGGAAAGAAGACTTCAGTTTTATTTGGAAACATGAATAAATTCCTAAGCTTTCTCTGCCATCCTGATTGCCACCCTCTTGCACATGCGGAAAGAAGACTTCAGTTTTATTTGGAAACATGAATAAAAGCCATTCCTAAGCTGGACTGGTTGCCTCCTTCCTGTTGCATCCAGCCTGGCAGGAGGCAGGTGGCAGCAGCCCCATGGCACCTCCTAGTCCTCCAGGAGCCCTGAGTAGGAGGCTTACTGCAATAAGTGAAACATCCAATTTTCCCTAAGAAATCACATCCATTTGGGCCACAGTGGCCCTGAGAAAGGCATGATCCTGCTTTGGGTCTCAGCTCCCAGGTGCAGGGCGACAGTAGGGCCAAGGAGCTGTCCCCAAGGGCCCTGAGCACCATCTTTTCTCGTCCCAAGGAAGCCCAGCATTCCTGTGGCATTAGCAGCTCTCCCTGCACATAGCTGCCTCCTCCCATCAAATTACAGCCCCAGCACAACTCACACATTGCAGTCATGTTGCTAAAATCAAACGTTTACCCAAGCAAAACAAACATTGGCAGGGCAAGACGCGAGGCTGTCGGTGCAAGCCCCAGCCATGCTGCCCTCTCCCTGGGGTGACCTTGTTTCTGCATTGTCCTTCTGCCTTTCCTTCCCAAACCAGAGCTTTTTTCCACCTCTGTGGATGGAGGTAACACCTTGAGCAGCTGTATTTGATGTGACATGCACTCTCACTTATAGCAATAATGAAATATTGTCATTCAGGACAAGTGGGCCTGAGGTGAAAACAGGCATGAGAGGGGTTCTTGGGTATTTGGCTGTGTCTTTTTTCAGTACAACAGACACTAAATGCTTTGCCCAACCAGGGTTTTTACCCCCAGAAAAACTGAGAAAACGAACTTGTCAGCTAGATCTGCTGATTTTCCTTAAAACTTGGGGTATTTTGGGAACACCCCTAGTGCAAACATCTGGTTGACCCGCTCAGAGGGGTCTCCTGAGGGTCCCAATCCCTCAATGCCATGGCACTGCAGGCTCAGAAGTAGTACAAGTGCATCGGAAACCAACAAACGTGGAAATGTGCTGGGTCTAAGAACCCTGTGACATAAAATGCATCCAGATGTTACAGTCTTCTGTTTCCAATGCATCTGTAGCCTAGAGGTCAGAGAAACGTTTTCCACCTCCCCAGTATAGCAGCAGGAGCTGATTCCCACTGAGATCTGCTTTTGAGGACAGAGCTGAAATGTTTTACCCTGAAAGGCTCCAGGGAGTCGCAAACACCTGAGCCTTGGCCACAAGACAAGGTGATGCCAGCTGTCCCCATATCCATGGCCATCCAGCCCATGGACAACTCACACCTGCACTCTCACATCACATGATGTGTCACTGACAGCCCTATTATGCTTCTCTGTCCTGGCAAAATCCCAGCATCCAAACTGGACTTCTTCAAGATATTCTCCACTGCTTACTGATAGGCTTTGGCTCCCTGAAGGGCAAATAAGAGAAGAAATAAAGTTAACTCACTCCCTTCAGTCAGCTTGGTGGCTTGGACTGTGCTGTGTCCCCAGGGAAAAGGAGCTGCAAAGGGCCACTTGGCTGTGTGCCTTGGCTCAGTGGCACAGGCCAAGTGGCCTCACGGGCTGCCCACTCACTGCTCAGAGTCAAACAGGGAAGGTGGTGGCTGGCAAGAGAGGACAAAGATCTTGTAGCAGCCAAAATTTGTCCCGAGAAGAGCATGTATGTTGGGACTATTTAGGCTTTTTCAGTCCTTGGAGCAGAGGTGCCAGCAGGTCGGCAGGCTCGGTGGGAAGCCAGAAACACTGATGAAAGGCCAGGCTGCCTTAACACACAGACTGTCTTCCCAGGGTAAGGCAGCAATGCCGTGGGGTGAGGAGCTGTGGGTGGATTTCACTGCCAGCTAAAACACAGGAACAACTGCATGAGGAATGTAACATGACATGACAGGCGGGAGAGTGGGTGAGCTGGCTGAAAAACCAGTAACCATTAGAGGGTCGGCCTGGTTGAAGCCTCCACAGAGAGGATGTGCTAATGATGAATGAAAACCACCCCAAGGAGACCATGTATCTGTGCAACTCCAAACCAACTTGCAGTTTTCCCTGCATGTGTAGTGAATTTCTTGTGCCTGAAAGGCTTTAAGGAGTATGACACATGTCCACATTGCTTGGGAAAAAGAAGTAATTAAAACATTTAAAAATTTTTTTTACATCAAGCAGGAAAACATTTACCAGTCACTAAAAGAGAGCCTGGATGTGATTGCTCTTATCCCCCTAGCTGAGGCAGGAGCTGTGCTGGCAGGTGACAGAGCCCATGCCACTAGACACAGCCACAGTTCTCAGGCCATTTACTCTGCTTGTCTTTGCTGGCAGTAGATTCAATTCCTGCTCTGGTTTGCAGCTTTACCAGCATATTTCAAACCTCTCTTCAGCCGTCAGTAAAACACTGCTGTGTGAACCAAGTCACTGCAGTAAGATCTGAGGAACTTTTGTACACACTGCCCTAATAAAAGCTCTGCATCTTGTCTACAGTCATAAATCTGCCACCAGAGCAGTGGCAATGTAACCTGAGCTAAGGTACATCAGACACACACTTCACTATGCCAAAGCCCCTGTGGTGTAGAAACACCTGCAACAGCCCTGAAACCTGGGCAAAGCAGAACTCATGTTCTGTTGCTGCTTTTGCTTGACTACACTACTGAAATATGGTAAAAGCAACATGTATCCAGACCTACTTTTCATTTTCACTGTGAACATCAACATCCCCAGTGAATACTCTGCCCCATCAGAGCATTTTGCAGGGCTTTGAGTTCTCCTGCCCAGTTCTGTGCTCTTGGCTTTCAGCATGACAGCTCACCTCTGCCAAACGAGCTGATTTGGTTACACGCCCTTTGCTCTTTTTTTTTAAATCAAAGCAGAGAAAGGATCCAAACTGGAACTTGATCCTGAGTCCTCTTAATTGCAAAGAGGAGAAACCATCTGCAGCATGACGTACAGCAGCAGCAAGCATGAAATGTATAACCTGATGTACAGCAGTCGTTAAGCACCGAGACACTCTCAAGCTTCTTGGTTTCCTGCAGGATATCAAGCACTTTATCACAAGAGTTTTGAAGTTTTTAAATATCAGAGATGACAGAGCTCTGCCTAATGGGAATATTTTCAAGTGGGCCACAGCTGTCAGTTCCCTCTCCTGGGCTCTGTATATGTAATACTTCCAAAAACGTTCTCCAGCCTCACTTCACCAACAGAACTTAAATGATTTCATAAGGCAAGAGAAAGAGGACGAAGACCCACCAGGAGGCAATGTCAGCACAGACTCCCCTTGGCATCTTTCCCTTTTGGGCTGGGGCAACCTGCACGACAAGGAGGGAAGCCATGAACTGAGCTGTTACAGGGTTAGAAAATGCAATAGGTGGTTAACTGATGTCTGGGCAGTGTCCTGTGAGACCATCATGTGTGCAGGGAGCAGACAACAACAAACCTGACACCAAGCTGCTGTGGAAGTTTACAAAATTCCTGCCTCTCACTACACAATGATGCCTGGATTAAGGTTACGTTCCTCTGCGCTGCATTTTGTCACGCAGCCGCTATTTTGGTCAGAAAGTCAGCAAGGCCATATTTGGGAAGCTGTCCCACTGAAGGGCAGCATGAAGGGCAGGAAGAAGAAAAAGCTGCTTTTGAAGGCAGGCCTGGGGTGCTGCCTGGAGCCACAGGAAGCCCAGATGTTGCCCTCTGCTTCTTGTTAACATGCCAACATCCTTTTCTCAGCCTGACCTTTGCCTCTCTCTCTTCCCTCAAACTGCATCCTGTGGGTGAGCTATTCACACAATGCAAGCACTTGGGGAAGACACCAAAGGAGTTGAGATGAAATCTCCCTTCTTATATAGAAGTCTCAGCGCTAGAGATTTAAAATGCGGAACTTAAACCATGTAGATCTGCAGACAGACAGGTGAAGGTGTAAACTGACAAACACAAAGTGAGTGCTCAGTTCAGAGGTTTTTTTCTTTCACTCTTGTAACAACACACACTGCAGCAGACTGACCTTCACTTGCACAGCTGGACCAGCCACTATCTCCTCCAACACCAGCAACAACCCAAGGGGACACCTACGCATCCCAGACCTCTCTGCCAGCCCAGGCAAGGGTTGCAGTGGGCTGCTGGGCAGTTCTGGGCCAGGGGCTGAGGCTGCCACACATGCACGCTAACCCAAATCACAGCCTTGCTTTTGGAGACAAACTTGCTCAGGCAGGGCAGGCCCCAGCCACACAGCTTGAGGGCCAGGGGGATTTAAGCACTGTGCATCTGTCTCTGGGTGACCTACCCCTTGCCAAGGGAGGATTAAATCGACAAGTAACCTCTTGCTAGTTGTCCTTCTGGAGTACTTGAGAGCCACAGGGACCAGACAGCCTT